GCACTGGGTGTTATACACAAACAATGAATCATGGAACACTGCATCAAAAACTAATGATGTAATGTATGGTGATTAACATAACAATTAAAAATTATTTTAAAAAAAGAGTGTCCTGCCCTCATGAGGCACTTTCTGTACAGCTGCCATCTCTAAGAGGGAAATGAACTCCCACGCAAGCAGGGAGAGAAGGGGGTGGGGGGAGTACCATTGCTTTAAAGGATGGGAGACTCTGGGTCTAAAGGGATTCCATCCCTGGAGATGGAGAGAGAGCCTTGCATAGTCTCGAGCCTCTGAGGGATGGTGAGGAAAAAAGGGAACCTGACAAACACTTCCCTTGCTTCTGTACCCGCCAGCCGCTGGCTGGGCAGGCCCAGGGGAAGCAGCCGGAGCAGGGCACACACGGCCCAGCCCTCCCCGAGCTCACCCTGGGGGAAGTCAGAGTGAGAGCAGGCTCCCTGGTAAGACAGAGACAAGAGCACCACGGAGGCAGAGCTGTTGCTCTTTTTTGTTTTTAATTTGAAATTATTTTTATTATATGATAACATTTTTCCTTACATTTCTACTTCAGGGATTTGTCTCATATCTTTTGCACAGTTGTCTACTGGATATCAGGGGTGGGAGTTTGGCAAATTTTAAATTTTAATTGAATTGTAGTTGTCATACAATACATTCGTTTCAGGTGTACAACACAGTGATCCTGCAATTCTATATCCTGCAATTCTATTGCTCAGTGTTCACCACAGTAAGAGTGGTTACCACCTGTGACCGTGCAACATACTACAATATTATTGACTCTATTCCCTATACTGTAATTTTCATTCCCATGACTCTCTTATTCTTTTTTTTTTAAGATTTTATTTATTTATTTGACAGAGAGAGACACAGCGAGAGAGGGATCACAAGCAGGGGGAGTGGGAGAGGGAGAAGCAGGCTTCCCGCTGAGCAAGGAGCCCGATGTGGGGCTCAGTCCCAGGACCCTGGGACCATGACCGGAGCCGAAGGCAGACACTTAACGACTGAGCCACCCAGGCGCCCCTGACTCACTTATTCTATAACTGGACCTCATATTTCCTGACACCTAGTTCACCCATTCCCCACCCCCTCCCCTCTAGTAACACCAGTTTGTTCTCTGTATTTATGAGACTGTCTCTATTTTTGTTTGTTTGTTCATTTGTTTTGTTTTTTAGATTCCACATACAAGTGAAATTTTATGGTATTTATCCTTCTCAGACTGACTTATTTCCTTTAGCATAAGACCCTCTAGGCCCATCCTTATTGTCACAAATGACAAAATTTTATTCTTTTCCATGGCTGAATAATATTCATTGTAAATATATACCACATCTTACTGATCCATTCACCTGTCACTGGAAACTTAGGCTGCTTCCATGTCTTGTCTATTGTAAATAATACTATTTGCAATAAATACGGGGGTGCATGTATCTTTTCAAATTAGTGTTTCTGTTTGTTTGAACAAATAAGTTTCCATCTTTATCCTAGTTTTGGCAAGCAGAGTGTCAACTTACAGAAGATTTTTTAAGTCTACGGGGGAAGGAGGCTAAGGGGAGGGAGACCTCTCCCTAAGTGGTTCTGAGATGCAAAGCTAATCACTGGGTCAATTTTCAAAAAAGATCCCAGGGTTTTCAGGAAGTGAGACACCAATTCCTCTATACCTTTCCCCATTTTCCCATCATAATCCCCGAAATTGGCAGTTAGAAAGAGTTAGAAAGGGGTTTCAGGTTAGACAAGGGTGACCACAAGCAAAGCACCAAAGGAGGAAGAGAGTTTAACAAGGCCTCCAAAATGCAGACTCCCCTGCATGTTTGTGTTAGCCCAGTTACCACGACAACATGAACTGAAAGGGGCGACAGAGCCCCAGGGCCCCACATGGGCACCACTGAAGCCTAGACCTGGACCCAGGTTACCCATGCACTACGCCCCTGCGGCAGTGGGCTAGGTTCAACCCTAAAACTGCATGGCCGGGCTTCAGCAGCCACACCTTAGAGCCATGAGAAGCAACTGCTCTAGGGGAACAACTGAGTGAGACCCCAGCTCCCTGCCCCCTTGGCATGTAGAAGCAGAACAGCTCCCAACAATGGAGCAAGGATGCCCCTGGGGTGTTTGGACATTTCAAGGGTAGGGGAAGCCACAAGAGGAGAAACTAGACAACTGAAGGGGAA